TTAGAAATTGCAAAGCTCCTAGAACAAAGAAAATAATGAACCTACAGACTACTAAAGCCAAGAATTGCTTATGAAGCCAGCCTACTTAGTTCACATAACACAGTGGGTGAACAAATTTCAGTGTACAAAATTGAAAATGTTTAGAGATATTTTACTGTTTTAATCATTCTAGAATAATCAAGTGTTCTAGAATTTTAAAATTGACCTCCAAGTTTTTAAATTTAAGCTTAGCTAGGTAGTAGCTTTCTCATATGTAAATAATAATATGTAAGAGAAGAAAACACATTTGTCAGTAACCTATAAAGTATTGCAAACCTCTTCCATGTGAATGGTTCACTGATAATGATAAAATGGGAAAGATCTGATATTAGAACAGGTCTTTTCCTGGTCACATAACTTTACTAGGCTACTGGTATTTTGCTCAGTGTGACTGAGCAGCAAGGATAAGATTTCTGTTTTGCAATGACAGCTTTGTTTTTTTTGATTCATATTTTTTTAAAAGACAGATCTAAATTTTGTGCCATGTCTATGATTAAATCATATCTATAGATGAGATATTTTGTCCAATTGAGAATTCATCAAGTTAAATTTTTAATATCTGGATCGTTAACATTATAAAATCTTTCAGCTTTACTATATGTGTAACAATAAAATAACAATATATATTCTAGCACTAACAGTGTGCCTGGCACTATTCTAACTACTATATTAACTCATTTAATTCCTGAAGTAACCATGCAAGATAAGTACTATTTTTATATTTTACAGTTGAGGAAACTGAAGTACAGCAAAATTAAGTAACTATGACAAAGGTCACACAGTTATTGAATGGTAGATCAAATTTGAATCCAGGCACCTGATCTGAAGTTTTTTCTTAACCACTGCATATTTGGAACACATATCAGTATCATTGCACAAAGAACAATTTCAGTGATTAGGTTATTAAATATAATTATTTGAGATGCTATTTAAGGCAACTAAATTTATTATAGACTGCAGATTTCAGATTTGGTAAAATGTTGCCTGTTTTATTTATCCATTCATATATCTATTCAACAAATGTTAACACTTGAGTATAAGATCCTCGAGAGCAAAAACTTTATCTTATAATCTGCCTGTCTAGCACACAGAAAGTGTATCTGTGCTTTTATCACCAGTATTTGCATATAGTAGAGTTTATATATTTATTCACTGAAAAAATATTGAATGCTTGTGATTTGCAAAACATTGCCTTTTGCAAGTTTGATTTTGCATGCTCAGGCTTATTTTTTTTTTAATGACATGATTATAGAATATACCTTTAACCTATTTAGAAAACACATGGCTAGGTTTTTTTTTTTGAGATAAGGGTGGTCTTACTCTGTTGCTCAGGCTGGAGTGCAGTGGTGCAATCATAGCTCACTGCAGTCTCCTAGACGTTAACTCTTTGGCCTAAAGTGATCCTCCTGCCTCAGCCTCCTGAGTGGCTGGGACTACAGGCACGTGCCTCTACACCTGGATAATTTTTATTTATTTATTTATTCATTGTTTTTAGTAAAACGAGGTCTTGCAATGTTGCTCAGGCTGGTCTTGAACTCCTGGGCTCAAGCAATCCTCTTGTCTCTGCTTCTCAAAGTACTGGGATTACAGGTGTGAGTTACCATGTCCAGGCTCACATAGCTAAATTTCAGCAACTGTGCCAGGACTGAAAGTAATTAACAGGCCACTATCTGAAACGGATTACAGATTATGATTATGGTAAATACCTGGTCTCATAGAGTTTATGATCTGATCTAGATGAATTAAAAGACCCAAGTTTATGAAGACTTATACATTATACCTTATACATGCTACTTGGGAATAGGATTTGATTTCATTTGGATGCAGAGAGCAATAATTTATCACTCTGGGTTTAGAATCGTATTAAATCAGGAATAGTTTTTGTGAGGTTCCATATTTGTTTTGACTTTATCAGGAATACAGTGTTCCATGGGGAATTGTAAGGCACCTTAATGTCTTGGTAAGAGTGAATTAGCAGAGGCTTTTAAGGATTGGACTTGTGTTGGATAATTTTGGAGAGGGTTTGAGGAAGCAAAGCCTACGGGTGCTGTCAGGGAGCAGGAGCAATTTGATGATTGATGGTAAGAATGAAATTTTTAGCATAAAATAAGTACTCTTATTAGGCAAGGGGGGGGCTATATCTGGTCATTTATGTGGTTACATGGTGCCCTTGTTTTGTCTATATTTGGACATGAATAATGGTTTTGGGCGTGTTGTTTAATTATGCTAATGAAGTGACCTCGTGGTGTTATTTTTTGTGAAATTATTTATGTTTACTAGAGGGTACAGTAGCTTAGGTGTTAATTGCCAGACAGGACACCAACTGTTAGTGCTCCTTTTTTGTTTGCTTGTTTGTTTTGCTTTGTTTTGTGCCTTTTTCTCCTCAGAGGAAAACAATATTAAGAAAGGTGTGGCACCACAGAAGAGTGTGGTTTGTTCTTGTGTTACTGGAAGGAAGGGTACATGTGAGCACCTGAAGGAAGCTGAAGCAGAAGAGGAGAAAGATCAAGTCATGGGGTTTATCCCAGAGTCGTAGAAAGATTTTCAGCAAGGCTAATATTCTGAGGTTTGCGTTTCACAAAGGTTATCATCAAAGCAGAACAGTGATTTGTTAGGAAAGTAAGATAGGCAAGGATAATTTGAAGAGTATTTTAGTAGTCATTATTTCAGAATAATAATGAGGGTCTCTACTAAGGCAATGATAGTGAGGATAAAGAGCAGGTAATTTATTTGGGAGAAATTTAGATGTTAAAATTGATATGCCTTGATTCCTGATAGATACAAAAAGTGAAGGAGAGTAAGGAAGTTAAGACTGACTACTTGTGTTTAGCTCATGTGATTGGGTAGATGATTGTTACTCTTCAATAAAATAAAAAGTTCAGGAGGAGGAGAAGGTTTGGGAGAAATAATGAGTTCACTTTTGAATATAATAAATTATGTATGAAACCCTTAAGACAAAATATCTACAAATCATTTGGATACATACATTGGTCCTTGATTTAGAAATACTGGCTTACAAATTATTAAATGGTAAAGAACCCTACTATTTCCTTAGTGAATAAGGTGATGAGCCTCCAAAGATGGCAATGAAAGATTAATTGTTACGTGGTAAGAGTTGGCTAGAAGATCTCATGTCCCATACCCTTAGAAGTAGAAGAATTCCTTTCTTTACAGAGACTTCTTAGCAGTCACTACTGAAGAACATAACAACTGGTGTCAGGGTCCTTGTGTCAGTGGCCATTGCCTTTCCCCATTCCTTTCCAACCTGAACTCAGTTACCAATTCTTTTCTCAATCCCCTATAGCATAGCTAAGAAACTATTAATGTTTAAACAAGTAAGGCTTTACTAAAGGTTCAAGAAAGCAATAATAAAAATTACAGAAATTAATATGCACTTAACTGATCTGGCTATTAAATAGAGCTGGTGTTCTGTAATGGTCCACTCTGTAACCTCTGGAATCCTCTATAGGAATAACTGAATAGCTTGCCAGCCTGCCAAATACCAGCTTTCTCCCACCATGAGGCACACTCTTGAATAAGCTTAGACACCTCAAAGTCTGCACCCCAAAGTAGAAGACAAAGAGAGCCCTTCCTTCACCCTTTATCTGTCTTCCCTGACCTGTTTCCTTTTCCTAGCCCCCACCTCTTTTTGGAGAGACATAGGAAATGTTCAGGACAACTATCTGTACCCACAGAAAGTAATCCAAGATTTAGTGTGTAGTAGATATAGTTCCTGCCTAATTTCAAATTATTTCTTAAAATAACCTCTTGTCCACAGATCCTGCTAAAAGATCTGAGTTTATGTAGTCTTCAGAGTTGTACCCTGTAATCTTGACCTCCAGGCTTAGCTAATTGGATTAAGAGTAGACACTTAACCCAGAGAATAGGAATTCAAAGTGTGATGAGTCAAATTTCATTCTCTCTCTTAGAATTTGGAATTAGGACACCACGAGTCAGTCAGTCAAATGATATTGAGCCTGGGCTGGGCTGGCCATGTGGTGGAAGTTTATGCTGATGAGTCAGCAGAGAAAGCCATTCTACAGAGAAGAGCAGAGGAATGGAGCAAATGGCAGAAGTAGGCAAAAGAGACTATGATTCTATGAGAGATGAAAATTAGCCTTCTAGTTGTTTCAGTTCTCACATGGTAATAGTTTGTTAGTTTGTTCCCCAATTAAGGTTGTCTGTGTAGACTTACAATAAAGCTGTCTTTATGTGAACCAGTTTAAATGGGTGTCCTTTTTTTTTTTTTTTTTTTTTTGCATTGCTTTTGCAGCCAAATGTATTCTGATTAAAACACAGGGTTTGTAGGATTTATTACATTATCCATAATCTTCTCTAATTGATATTTTTGAAGGGGAGATGCCATCATTTTGTCAAATTAATATTATCAGGATATTTGAAATGTTAGGTTTTTCAGTTTTTTAGAAAAAGAAATCTGTGGATCTTAAATATTTGCATTACTTATTTTCATATGTGTTAAATCAAGTTAGAATGTTGCTTGATTTTTAAAAGACATATATGGTCAGTTATAGGAATAGTTGTCACTTGCCACAGAACAGTAGTAAAAAAATTTGTGAAATACTTGAATGTTGCTGAATAAAAGCATCATGACAAATTCATGGATACGAATTATTTAATGTAGATGTCACCATTTTAAGAAAAGAATATACATGATTGATTCAATAGGTTATATTTTAAAATAAATAATTAACTTGCCTGTTTTTCAAACTGATTGCTACCATGATAATAATACTGCCTTTTGTAATTTTTATTGGGCAATTTTTAACATCTAGATCTCCATATGAAAGCTTTTACCTTAAAATAGTACTAAAAACTCTTTGATCTATACCGATAGCCATGTTTAATTAAAATACTGTGTTTTTCTTCCATCTATAAATAACATTTTTAGATATTTGACTCTACTGTGAAAGGAAAAGGTAATCTAAAACTTAATTTCTTCACAGACAGAAAAAACAAAGTAGGGAGGCCAGCAAGTATTCCTCTGTCCTCTGGCTATAGTACGGCATCATCAGATTCAACTCCCAGAGCCTCTACCATTAATTACTGTGGTTTGAATGAGATTTCAGAGGTAAGAAAATGCTTAGATTATTTCCTTTCTAAATTAGGAAAACGAGCAAGCATTAGTTTTAGTTGTAAATATTGCTGGCAAGAAAAATAGCAAAACTGAATCTTAGTCTCTGAAAATTCTTTCATAAGTAAACAGTACTTAATGCAATGTTTCAAACTGTATTTTGTACATTCTCGGTCCATCTTTGATGATGGTTTACTTTGAGAAGTCATCTAAATTTGTTGCTTTTTAAATTAAAGGAAACAACAATCCAGAAAATGGAAAGGATGAAAAAAATGTAAGTAACAGAAAGGGGCAACAGAAATTCATTTCTCCATAGGGAATTGGATTGGATTACAGTATATATAGAATGTGCATGTGTGTTTCAAACCTTAAAGGTCTCTCAGTCAGGTGTGGAATTTCCTTCAGGACTCCATTGGATAATAAATCCACCTACAGTTATGTGTTTGTGAGATGAGTCACTGTTTTAGTTTCCAACAAGTGATGTAAAACTTGTTGGAATTGTTAATGGAATTAACTGCAGATAGAGTATAAAGATATTTTTGGTTGGTAACTAATCAAGAGTATTATCTATTTTTGATAACTGATTTATCAAAATATTAAATAATATATGTAGATGGATGGTTTGGAGACATTTTCAGTATTGTGAAAATATCACTGGTGTTTTTCAGCGAGTTATAAGATACTAAAAATGATGTTTTTGTCTAGTACAAATGATGTGATTTTTCTAAAGAGCAGTTCAAAGGAAATATAAAATGAAATTGCATATAAGATGATTATGCAATCTACTACTATAGAAAATTATATTATTATTTTGAAATGCAAAAAGTACTTAACTTACACTCCAAGAATACAAGACTCATAATTGACTCTTTTTTTCCTCCCTCTGAGCATACTTAAGTTTATTCATAGTAACTGTACTTATAGATAAGAAAAATATTCAAATTTATTTTAGGCTAAAAAGCATAATTTCAACAACTAAAATGCTATGCTTTATTATGAATTATTGATTTACTTAATATATTATTTATTATATTTCAGGTTTGAAGAAACTGCAGAGTTATTGAAATGTCCAAATCACTACTTGTAGGATTTTCTACGTGAACTTTTCTAGGACTTCGGTTACTATACATATTGTATATTTTAAGAATTCTTTATACAGTTTTAATATACTGCAAATTTTTGACAATTTGGATTCCATTTGGTATATGAATTTTTGCATTCATTATTGAATAAATCTTTTAATATTTTTGAGCAATGATTATACTGCTTTACCTTGTGTCACTTTTTTTTTTTTTTAAGGAAAAACTCATGTTCCAGTCTATTTCTCTTACAGAGTGAAGTCATTACAGCACTGTATTTCTGTGTTGACATTTGTTGGCAGTGTGCTAAGTAATGTTTTTTAAAGCACAGGCTGGAGGACTCTGGTTTACATCCTGTTGGAAACATTCCAAATGGGACTTGTGTATTATACCCAGGAGGCTTTCATCTATGCCATCTTCGCATCTGTACTGATGAATAAATTATAATAAACAGTTAAAAATACTCATTGAAAATTAAATATAAAGACAGCTATTTCATGCTTGGTCAAAAACAGCAATACCTTTCCAGTTAACATTGAGAAACTAAGGTTAAGATTCCCCTTTTGTACTGGGAAACGGGCTTGAGGACTGTGGTCCTCAGGTTTAGACTAAGAGGACCGTGGTCTCAAGGTTCACTGTGAGAAATGTGTTGAACATTTTAGTGTGCTCTATTGTATGAATTTTTTTTTTTTTTTTTTTCTTTTGAGATGCAGTTTCGCTCTTGTTGCCCAGGCTGTAGTGCAATGGCGTGATCTCGGCTCACTGCAACCTCCGCCTCCCAGGTCCAAGCGATTCTTGTGCCTCAGCCTCCCGAGTAGCTGGGATTACAGGCATGCACCACCATGCCCAGCTAATTTTGTATTTTTAGTAGAGACGGAGTTTCTCCATGTTGGTCAGGCAGGTCTCGAACTCCTGACCTCAGGTGATCCACCCGCCTTGGCCTCCCAAAATTCTGGGATTACAGGCGTGAGCCACCACTCCTGGTGGTGTAGCACTTTTTAAGACCAGTATAACAGACAGAGAATATAGCCATTCTAGCCAACATTAAAAGATACACTGAGGTGTTGTGTTTTTTTGAATGATGAAAAGTTACACATTTTTTGGAGAGAGAAATCTTAGCTGAAGTTAAATCAATGGAAAAATGAAATTTATTTTTAATATTTCTATATGAATTACCTTTTTAAAAAAATTATAGATAAAAGTGTAGCAGTAATCCCGGAAATTCCTCAAGAAAATTGACTTCATTATTTGGAAGGAAAAAGTGTATTTTTTTTTAATTATATGGACCATCTGATTATATTTTATTTATTCATCTATGGTATATATGTATAATTCGGTATTACACTGTCAAATATAAAATATTGTTATATGAGTAGAAATCACTTAAATTTTTTTTGTGTGTGTGAATTTGAAACAGCGTAAGAAATCACTTTTAAGAAAACATTTTTAGTATTCCTTTTTTTTTTTTTTCCTTTTTGAAACAGGGTCTCACTCTGTTGCCCAGGCTGGAGTGCAATGGCGTGATCTCAGCTCACTGCACCCACCACCTCCCGAGTTCAAGCGGATTCTCGTGCCTCAGCCTCCTGAGTAGCTGGGACTATAGGCCTGTACCATCATGCCCGGCTAATGTTTGTATTTTTGTAGAGACAGGGTTTCTCCATGTTGCCCAGTCTGTTCTCGAACTCGTGAGCTAAAGCTACCTGCCTACCTGGAACTCCCAAAGTGCTAAGATTACATGGGTGAGTCACCATGCTTGGCCACATTTTTAATATTCTAATAAATATTTGGTTGTCAGAACTTTAAAATGATAGCCTACAGAAACATACAATTTTGAATTTAACAGAGTTTCAGTAAATGTTTCCAGAATTAATGAAGCATGTTAGCTTTAATTTTTTTTGATTGTGAGAGAAGTACATTTATAAAAATTAAGAGGTTATAGTTATAACGGAAAAAACTACTGTATCGATTAACTCCTAAAATATCAGTACCAACATGGAACTATAGCACCACCTTGTGGTTAACATGGCAGTGTTTTACCTTTTATTAAAACAAGTGATTTCCCATCAAAGAGGATATTTTTTCCCTTTTGAAAAAGTCAATTTTAAAAAGAAACATTTTTGAAGTTTTCTTATGGAAGATAGAAGGAAAGCGTCTTTCTGCCTTTCTTTTTTTCTTTGTATAGTGCAGATACACACACTGTGAAATGACTTAAAACATTTCTAATCTAGTTTATATACAGTGTGCAAAATATAAGTATATATTGAAAATATAAAATATTTCATATATGTTATCAGGTGGAAATTTAGAATTCAAATTTTCTTAAACTTTAATAACTTGTCTAACAACTCTGTAACAGGAACTAAAAATCAATTCATAATACATCATACATTTACACTTACAAAGAGTCTCTATCTTGACAACATAATTTTTGGAAAAATCAAATTCGACTTTATTGAAATTGTTGGACAGATCTGCAAATTGTTATTTTAAAAAGTTTTCTTGTTTAGGCAATTTGGCAAGTGGTTTCCAGTCATAAACTAGCCATTATTGATTAACTTGAGATGGTGAAGCAGGGGAGTTCTGAAAAGATTACCTGGAGCTACAGTAATTAACCCTAAGTAAAATTTTCATTTTCATTCTTTTCATTCTCTCATAAACTGGATGAAAAAACATTGTGCTGCCAACAAAGGTGTCAGTTGCTGCCCTGTCTGTGCTATGCTCTGAATAGGTCTAGGTAAAGATTATATGGAAATACTATAAAGAATACATAAGGTAAAATACTAGTCAGAAAGCCTTCAGAAGAAGTTAACATCAACTATACGAAAATTCTAGGTAAAGCTAAGTACTGTTGAGTTGGAAAAAAGTAGTTCTATCCTGGTTGCTTGTTTTCCTCTACTGTTTTTAATGTGATGTTGTAATATATTTTAAAAACAAACTTTGAAAACGTTGGGACCTTGTTTCATGCCATTCATTACTCATAACTATATAATTGATACACACTTTGGGAAGCATAAAAATTAATAAAAAAAAACTTCTCAATTTTATAAACTACAACACTTTTTGAGCTCAAATAACATTGTAGCTTTGATTTTTACTTTTTAACAGTCCCCAGGTTTGCCTTCTTTCTTTGAAATGGAATGACATAAAGAAAGTGAAGTAGAGGTAGTGTGAAACATTAAACTACAAAATTAAAGCTTTAATTGTTGTGTCTCTTGAGTTTTAATGTTCCTAGTGAAAATGGCAGGTTTCTTATCCCACTCAGAGAAGAAAGCTGGAAAGTCAGTACAGCACTGACAGCAGTAGCACACTCAGAACATGCAAATGTATTTTTGAAGAGGAAATTTCTAAAAATTCATACTAATTGTATTATGACATGTTTATTCCTAATACTTGTGGGAATTAGGACTATATATATATGGTTTGGTTTTTTTTCCTCAGTGAAGTCCACTAAATCACTAGTAAAAATTTAATTTGATTTTGCTTTTTAATTATTTAAATGTAAAATATTAAACTCAGCATTTAAAAATTAAAAACGTGGGACTTATTCAGTAACTATCCCAAATGTATAAATTATTTTAATTTTATGTTAGGGCGATGGGTGGTAAGAAAAGTAGAGAATCACGGGAAAGTTGAACAGTCAGGGAATTTGAGTGATGAGAAGGCTGAATATTTTGGAGTAGTTCTACTTCATTTTAGAACTTCAGTTCACTTAAGGTGTTACGTTCTTGGAGTGCAAATCAATTTATTAAATCATGAGATGTAGCTCTTCATTTGTTGAAACCCTGAGAGGCACTTGTGACAATGCAACAGAATTCTGTACATGTTTCGTATGTCTCTTGGCCATCCCTATAGATTTGCTTTTGCAGTTTCCCAGTAATGTTTGCCCCAGGTAGATCTCCTTTCCAGGCTCCCCATCAACAGTATTTCTGTGTTTGTTTTCTTGTCTCTGAAACTTTTGAGCTTTTCGAAGACTGTATCTCTGTTAGGATATTTATGAAAAAATGTTTAAAAATAAGCTATGGAATAGTTATTTGTAATTACAATTGTAAAACTATTAAGTTGAACTATAGTAAAGATTGATCATTTTTAGACTCATGACTGGCTCGCTTTTTTTTCATTTTTCCCATTCCCCACTTTGATGGGAAAGCATTACTTTCTATAAGTCCTCGTAAGGTGGAGGACGTTTTGTCTGCATGCCCTTTGCTATTGTATGGGAGGCAAAACTTTACCATCTTAACGTCTCTGGCTAGGCCTGAGAATTGAATTGACATAAGATAAATTAACAGGAGACAAACGGATTTTCCCATGTACATGGGAGCCCCCATAGGAAAATGAAGATCCAAAGATGTGGCAAAACGTAAATGCTTGTATAGTAGGTTGAACGAAAAGTAGCAATTGTGGAAAAGTAAAATGTATGAGGAGAATAAAGGAAGGTAAGTTATTTTTACAGAGACCATTTGTACAGGTTTTTCTCCACCTCCTCTCATCTCTGGTAGCAAGGATGTTTCTTCTCTCCTTGTACAGGGAGGGCATCTTTCACATGGAAGTGTTCTCCCTTCAGTGATACTACTTTTTTCCTGGTACACGGAGGGCAGTGTCTCTTTTGCATCTGCTGATTTTCAAGTGCCTTTAGCTCAAAATAATCTTATGCCAAAACGGCATATTTTGTGGTGGCATATTCTGCCACACTTCACTATCAAAAACAGTACATAGACTCTCACTCAAAGATTACTACTACTACTACTACTACTGCTATTACTACTACTACTGCTACTACTACTACTGCTACTACTACTACTAGTCCATCCCCTGCCTAAGTCCTGTTATTTATACTGTACTATCCTTTATAATATTTCATACATCTGTCTCCTTTCCCATTACCACTGTATTCAAGGTTTCTCATTCTTTGCTTGCACTATTCACTGATCTTGCCTCCTTGAGTGTATCCACACCACTATGAAAGTGTATTTTTTTAAATTGATTATGCCATGTTGCTGCTAAAAATGTATGTTTGTGTTTCTCCTATTACTAATGAGAAGAGCCCAGCTTTTTATGCTGGACAGCAAAGGCCTTTTTCCTTGAAGTCTTTGTTTCCAGCACCATCTACAATTCTGTAGAGAATATAAATACACAGAACTCTCTTAAAGTATGTTTTCAAACACATTTCTTTTGTCTAGAATGACTTTTCCTTTCATCTGCAAGTTTCTGCTTATCCTCAAAGACCTAATACCTTTCTTGGAAAAGCTTTTTTCTACTATAGAGGCCAAATTATCTACTTCTGTCTCTTTGCTGCTTTAGTGCTTTTTCATACTTTTGATTTTTATACCCACTTTTTATAGCTGTTATTTATTCATATGACTTTAATTCTCATTAGTCTTCCAGCTTTCAGTCTTTTTTTCTAATGTTTGTTTCACTATAATCAAGGTTTCCAGATAAGCAAGGTTTTATCAAGGTAAAGCCAGGGCCTGGTCAATCATACTGTATTCTTTCTATGGAAA